CTTTTGCCACAAGGTGACCGACAGGTACTTCTGCGCATATCGTTGTTGCAAGATTTCTCAGTGTCTGAAACTAGCGTCGTGGCTTGTATCGCAAAGCACATGCCGCTGCTCGAAGACGTCAATCTGCGCTACTGCTACAAGATGACGAACGCTGCCGTCTCGGCGCTCTGTGCGGGCACGCCCAAGCTCCGGAGCTTGAACTTGTCGCAGTGCTGGCGACTCACAGACGCGGCAATCTGGGAGCTCGCCAAATCGCTCTCGTTGCTAAAAGAGCTCCGGCTCTGGGGCTGCATGAAGCTCACGTCGGCATCCGTCGTCGCGTGCTTGACCCTGCCGAGCCTGGCGCTTGTCGACATTCGCAGCCGCGACAAGCTCGAGGCGGTCATTGGAGGCTTCTCGACAGTCAAACACGTCATGGAGAGCCATCGGTCGACGTTGCTCAAGTGGGAGCAGAGCGGCGACAAGGTCGGCGTCTTCCACCGCAAGGCCTTTGTGCCCCAGCGTGCTCAAGTGCTCCAGCGCTGCTAAGGTGATGCAGCATCATTGACCGGCTTGCAATCGGCCATATGCCCTGTGTATTCTCGATGGATAACACAAATTCATGTCATCTTGCATATAATGACACGCCGTGTCATTGTCGACGGTGATGCCATTCGAGTCGCGTTCTAGAAGGAGCTAGGCGTACGCAAGACACGTAGAATTTTCATGTCAAAAGAGGACTATCTACTTGCGCTTGGGCACCCAGACCCAGCGCATTTCGCACTCGACGGGGCTGTCGCCGGCCGAGTCGGTGACAACAACGTTCACGAGCACCTCGCCCTTGTCGGACTTGGCGATTTCTTCGCGCTGGGCATCCGTGAGCGTCGCGATGGCCTTGAGATCGCCCTTGGCGCGCTTGACGTAGCTCATCGACATGGACTTGAGCAGCGGGAGGTGCGAGTCGCGCACGTTCATGCCAAAGACCATGCCCGACGCCGACTCGGCCAGGAGCGCCATGCCGCACGCGTGGACGCCGCCAATGTGGTTCTGGACGCGGAACGTGTTTTTGAGCGACACGACGCTCTTCTGCTCGGTGAGCGTCTCGACGTGGATACCGGCGACGCCGGCCATCTTGACCTGCGCGTTGAACGCCGTGCTCAGCGCGCCTTCGCGAAGAAAGGCCGGCGCGCCGCTGCTGTTGATCTTGGCGACAAGCTTTCCGAGCTTGTTCACAGGGCCAGACATGCTACTAGTTCTAGTACGTCACGTTCTGCAAGGATGAAAATGGACCGCTCTCGACCGGTCGCTGGCTCCCCGATCGCGTGTTTCGCAAACATTCCTTGGGTCATCTCTCAACTGCAATCTGAGCGGCTCAAACCGCAAACCATTCGGTTAGACTAGCCGGACCCATACTCTCGGTTAAGTACGACACACGTCACCGATTGATGCCAGGTGGTACTCTTGATGGCAACCTGCAGCTCAACCTGCTCTGTGCTTGTCGAGGCTCTGCATATCGTAATATTAGCACGACGTCAACGCGATGCCAAAGCCTGCTACAGCATGTATGCGAGATACTGACTGACTTGCGGATTCTATGACTACAAAGGTATCGCTCGTAGAGGCCGGCGTCATCATTGATGTGGCATCGTCAGCTTCCAGGGAACACGTTGATAGAACGTTCTGTATGATCACTGCAAATTGGTACCGAGAGGTGGAGATTCCCATAATATGGTCAAACTGTTTTCTTTCGGGGCCGTCAGCGGGTATCGAACGCGACAAAGCCGCCCGCCGATCGACCTCGTTGTCACTTGTGGTACCGCGAGCATATAGACAGACAACGCAGGTAAGGTAGTCCTCCTAACGATAGTACGATTACGCTGCTAGTAGCTCGGGCAACCAAGGGCCAATGGTTGCCAGCGTTCCTTGATCGCGCAATTCGCGATCTTGGCCACGAAGTCCCGCTGGAAAAAGTTTGTGGCTCTGTCCCGTACGTTCCGTACCGTCCATTGCCATGCTGCACCCAGGTGATCCTATCAAATCGAGTGTACCCACTTGATCGTACATAAATGTACGCCAATGTACGTACGATGTCCCACCTTGTGACGGCGAGCACAGGATACCGTGGCTTCAACTTCACAATTCATTCTGGATTTTCATCCGCCGCTGCCATGTCGAGTCCGTCGCCGTCCGCCAACACCACACTGCTACTCAGCGTCGCCGTCGCTGCCCTCACGCTCGCGTGGGGCGGGACCATGGGTCTCCTTCTGGGCCTGCACCTGCAGCAGCAGCAGCAACCGGCGTCCAACGCCGAGAGCAAGGACGGCAAGCGCACCGTCGACAACCAAGAGCCGCGTCGTGACCGCGTCGAGTCGCGCCGAGGTCGCGAGACGTCCATCACAAACGGCGAAGACGTCAAGCTCATGGACAAGCACGCCCTCGTCGACGTGCGGATTGCCGAAATCCGCCCGCTTCTGCCGCCCGCGTGCCTCCTCGAAGAGATTCCGCGCACGGTTGAAATCGCACGCACGGTCAACAAGGGCCGCCAGGGCGTCGCCAACATCCTTCGCCGCGTCGACGACCGCCTCGTTGTCGTTGTCGGTCCGTGCTCGATCCATGATGTGGAGGCGGCCAAGGACTATGGTAATACGTGCGAGTATCCTCTTTGGCGAAGATAGCTCATTCCATTTCGAATCTTCTAGCGACCAAGCTGAAGCCGATCCAAGAAGCGATGGAGAAGGATCTGCTCATCATCATGCGCGTGTACTTTGAGAAGCCGCGCACGACGGTCGGCTGGAAGGGCTTGATCAACGACCCGGACATTGACGGCACATTCAACATCAACAAGGGTCTCCGTGTCGCGCGCGAGCTCCTCGCCGAGATCAACGAGATGGGCCTCCCGGTATGCTTCTTCTTCAATTCGACGTCTCATCGCTGACGCGCATGGAATCTTAGGCGGGTTGCGAATTCCTCGACACGATTTCGCCGCAGTTCTTTTGCGACCTCGTGAGCTGGGGCGCGATTGGCGCGCGCACGACCGAGTGCCAGCTCCATCGCGAGCTCACGTCCGGCCTCTCGATGCCCATTGGCTTCAAGAACGGCACGGGTGGGTCGCTGCAGTTGGCTGTCGACGCCGTCGTGTCGTCGGGCCACCCGCACTGCTTCCTCTCGGTCTCGTCGCAGAGTTTGGCGGCAATCGTCAAGACGACGGGCAACGACTGCTGCCACGTCATTCTCCGTGGCGGCAGCACCGGTCCCAACTACGCGGCCGAGCACGTCGAGAAGGTCTCGGCGCTCCTCAAGAAGGTCAACCAGCCCCAAAACGTCATGGTCGACTGCTCGCACGGCAACTCGAACAAGGACCACAAGAACCAGCCGCTCGTCGCCGCCGACCTCGTACGCCGCCCGTCCAATTCGCACACGATTTCTCACCTCTTTGTAGGCGCGCCAGATTGCGGCGGGCGACGACCGCATCTGCGGCATCATGCTCGAGTCCAACATTGTCGAAGGGGCGCAGAAGCTCATTCCGAACGCGCCGTTGGTGTACGGCCAGAGCATCACGGATGCCTGCATCGGCTGGGAAGACACGGTACGCCATTGGTACCAAGTCTGGCATTTTCTCATCTGCGTGTAGCTCTCGACGCTCGAAGTGCTTGCGGACGCGGTGCGCCAGCGCCGGGCAGTGCACAAGGCCACCAAGTAAATAGTGTAGTTGATGATGATTATCTAATGCGATCCAATCCTTGCTGATGGCTACTACCGTGCGTTCTGGGAGCTCGAGCCGCGCTTGGCGCTGCGCATCGACTGCAGCGGCGCGCGCGAGAAGGGCGAGATCACACGCGCACTCGCTTCCTTGAGCGCCGCGAGCTTGGTGCGCTCTTCGTCGTACTCGTCCTGCAGCACGGCTTTTTCGAGGGCTGCCGTCGTCGCCGGCCTAGGCACATCATTAGCCTCGACATGCGAGCGAGACTCGAATGCGTACGCGGGCTTTGCATCGTCGTCGTTGAACTCGTCAATGGTCATCGCGCCATCGTCTTCGTTGACCGAGCTCGGTCTTGTCTTGTCGTCGACAGGTGCTTGTATCGGCTCGGCGCTCGGCTTGGCCTCGTCGTCGTCATCCGTGGATTTGGCAGTCGCCTTGGCATCGTTTGTAGCCTCGCCCCCGGTGGTCAATGCCACCTTGGCATCATGCTCGTCGTTCGTCCGATGCTTTTCCAGCATTGCTTGCAGCATTTTTGCGCGCGAGGGCCGCGCGCGCAACCGACTGAATGGACGTCGCGGCCTTCGCCGTCGCTTCCTTCTCTTTGGCGGCCGCGGCATCGTACTGCGAGACACTCACGT